TAGTGCCTCCTAAAGTCAGACATCAGAAATATCATTAGAATATTACTAAGAATAAACAATATTATTCAAGAGAAAAATTATTATAAATGCAGAAACCTGGCCAACGAAAATTACTATAAAATTTTGTCCCATAAAACCTAAATATACATGGAAATTTCAAAGATCAATCAGAGTAACCTCTCATTCTAAAAAAAAAAAAAAAAAAAAAAATTAGTATTTACTGCCACACTTGGAAAATAAAAGTTCAGTAGCAGCCAACATCCACATTTTGGTCTTTAGCCCTTATTCCGTGATAGGTACTGAAAAAATGCATACACGAAGAAAAGTTTTCCTATGTCAAATTTTGTGCATTATACTAGCTATACTTACCTGTTTTTTTTTCTGTGCTTCATTATTATCAACTGCAGAGGTGGAAACAAGTAAGGTTTTTTGTGCAGCCTTCAAAGCAGCTGGATTATACACCGTTTTTGTTAGGCCAGTAGATGTAGACAATACCTACCAATAGAAATATATATATAAACTATTCATGACTTCCTATCTTTCTTCCTAGAAGTCTCAACTTTAAAGCACTCCATTAAAATTTAGCACAATGAATTAAATGCATTATGTCCTTAAAATAACTAAGCTACAAAACTATAAATGCAGAATAAGGCCTAACATGACAAAAACTTAAATTAGCACTATATACTTATAGACAAAAAAGGCAGACATACAAAAACAGCTCAAGAAAAAAACATTGCTATTACTAAGTCACTGAGGAACTATTAGTTGCTGAATGCATGTACTTCTATTCCTTGTGACTACAGCAAAAACTTACACAAAAGAGTATGGCACAGGAAGAAATTGCATACTATTGCTCAATTTAACATGATTATTTACAATGTGCAGCTTTGAAATAAACCTTATTGATTCATTCTCCATTCTTTCACTAGCAACGCTCCGAAGTGATCCTACACCTTAAACCCAGCTCAGGTTCAGCGTAACACAATCAAGACTTCCACAAAGCCCTAATTGTTTCTCTCTACTACCCAAGTTCTTACATGAAATTTTATCACTTCAGTTATTAGGTAAAAGTGCTAACAGATATATATAAACTAGTATTAGCTTTAAATAAAAAAACAGGGTCTTAAGTTAAGACCCTGTTTTTTCCCTCTTTGTGAATTTTCCAGGACCTTAAGACCCTGTTTTTTCCCTCTTTGTGAATTTTCCAGGACCTTAGTCTTGCTACCAACTAGTTATAATCCCATAAGTAAAATCAAGCACCTTTTGGGGCCTTAGTTTGCTCATGTGTATAATAAAGAAGTTTGAGTTATGGTATCTACAGTCCTTCTGAACCCCAAAAATTCATTCCACTAGGACATTAATTTTTTTGGTGGTGGTGGGGTTTTGTTACATCTCCTGTACCTAGAACAATGCCACGGCACAGAGAAAATATTGAATAAGAATTTTTTCACTAGGCTAAACGAAAATGATTAAAGTACAATGGAAAACTTTTTCTACACAAAGGTCAATTTTTAAAAAGTGGTTTTTGTCTACCTTCTTCATACTTTGAAAGCAAAACATGTAGTTCATTAAGTTCCATGAAATGGTTAGTTACAGTTCTTAGGAAAGCACCTAGGGATTTCTTCAGGAAGACTGACAAGTGCTATAAAAAACTAAACACGAAACCCTATGTTTGAACACTAATTTTCCAGAAGAAAAAAAAAAATACTTCTAAAAGCTTTTAAAGGAGTCCATGACCTAAAAAAGTTTTTAAAAAATCCTACTGAGGTCCAGCAGATGGTACAGAGGTTAAGGCAGCTAGATCGTACATGCCAATCAGGTAATTTCAGTCCAGGACCCAATGGTTTGAAAGACACACCAGGCACATGTACATGCACACCCAAAAATCCTGAGCAGAGAATGAAACCTGAAATTGTTAGCATATGGGTATATAAGAAAAGTAGCAACCTGAAGACCACTTTCTAATCTTTCATCATGAAAGTAAAGTTTCACTTTTAGTAACCAATGCCCAAACTGGAACTAAATACAAAAGATATATGGTTATGATGCTTAACAGCCACATTCACAGTAAGTAGCAATATCAGAAACTTAAAACAGAAATACATTATTTTAGTGCAATAAAAAGGCAGTTATCTCAGGAATTAAGTGCGTAGAAAGCTTATTAACATAATTACTGTATGGTCAATTTCTGTATTAGATAATTCATCTGTTCAGGAAATATAAATGACCATTTATGATATTCTTTTTTTAACTTAATTTCATTAACTATCATTATTTTTATTCAAAGAATTATTTATTTAATTTTATTTATTCATTCATTTATTTTAATCTGACCAGAGAAAGACACACAGAGAGAAGGAAAGTAATAAACCAAGCCACCAGGTCAAGGACTAAAACTGTGGTGCACCATGTAGGAATGTCCAGCACCTAAACCACCACTCTACCAGCTGGCCCCACTATTTATGATATTCTCTTTTTTTATTTTAATTTTATTAATCATAGTTTTTTTATAGAGAGATTTTTGCTATAGGGCATGTGTGCTCGCTGAAGAAACAAGAGAGAGACAGGGAGATAGAAAGCAAGAAATCACTCCTGGGGGTGGTGGGTAGAATGACCACACTGCAATCCCTTCTCCTCTGTTCTCTCAGGATTTTGGGCATGCACACATGCACAAACACGTGCCTGGTGTGAGTTTTAAGCAGCTGGGTCTGGCATTTGAGCCACAGTTGACTACGTGGGAGTCCAATAATGTAACTATTATGCCATCTGCTGGTCCCCATATTTTATTTTATATTTTTTAATTTGACTAGAGAAAGACAGAGAGAGAGAGAGACAGAGACAGAGACAGAGAAAGCAAGCCCCCGGGTTTGGGAATGTAACTGAAGTTGGCCATGTGAGAGTTCAGTGCCTTAACCACCTGCTGGCCTCTAAGATATTCTTTTAAACAACATACAGATGTGCACTCTATTTAAAATCTAACTAATTGGGAGTTCTGGTGAGGAAAATAGATTTTAAAGTTAAATTGATAAAATATTTTTAGAGTAATCAGTTTTTCCCTTTTAAGAGTACTAGATGAGGCCAGTAGGTGGTATGGTAGCTGGACTACCATATGGCTGACAGTGGTTTGAGTTCTGGACCCAGTAGCTTGAAAATCACGCCAGGTGCATGTGGGTGCACACCCAAAATCACAAGAAGAAAATGGAAGAAGGGATTGAAGTGCGGCCCATCCCCCAGGGGAGTGACTTCTCATTTTCCCTCTCACTGTCTGTCTGTCAGTCTCTGTCTTCAGTAAGCTTAAGTGCCCTATAAAAAAAACATTTAAAAAAAGAAAGAAAAAGAAGTACTAGGCACTTTTTTTTTATCCATTGGTCTATCATATCTTTTTCTCAATTATTTTTAAAATCTTTTAACTTATTTTAATTAACAAACAAAAATTTTACACACTTATTCCATTTGTGGAATGGCTGAAGTGAATTAATTAACATCTACATTACTTCACATACTTTTTCCTTAAAGGTAACAACATGAAAAAATCTACTCTCTTAGCAATTTTCAAGAATACAATACACTGTTACTAGCTATAGTCAACAAGCTGTACAATAGATCTCTTGAATGTAATCTCCTATGCAACTGAAATTCTGTATCCTTTGACCAACATCTCCCCAGCTTTCCCAGTCCCAACCCTTGGCAACCACCTTTCTACTCCCTCCTTCTAGGAATTCAACTTTTTAGATTCCATGTACATGGAATAGAAAAAAGGATTGAAAGAAACAAAGGGATTAATGATTTCACAGAGAAATGTCTCCATAAAAATCAAAGAAAAATACATGTACAATCAGTAACCAATTTTTGCTACAATAGCTTATAGTTCCCAGGAAATTCAGCAAAGTAAATACTTTCAAAATAAAAATTAAAAAGTAAATAAAGTTATAAAAGTAGAGAAAATTATCATAACCCCCCAAATCTTTATATAACTAATCCAAATTTCAACAACCAAAGGATTACCAAAACAACTCCATTTTATAGTTAAAGAAACAGAGAAAGATGTGTTCAAGTCTCGTACACAATGGCAGCTGCTAAACAGATGAAGTTTCTACAAGACAGCAATGTTCTTTGAATCATACCAATTTTTCTCTTAAAAGTTCGATGGTACAGATGTTAACATTATTATAAAAAGAAATATAGATATACTTTTAGATTACAAGGAAATAGTAGTAATGAATAATAAGATTCTCCATCATAAATTTGGTATCTAAAACTAAATGACAGATATAAAAACATTAAATATTCAGGCCAACAGATGGTGGTTGAGAAGCTAGATCCCATGGCTGATTCTGCGGTTCAAGTCCCGAACTCAGCAGCTTGAAAAACACACTATGCACATGTACATGCATGCCCAATTGTGGCATGGCCATCCCCTAGGGGGGTGATTTCTCACTTTCCCCCTCTCTGTCTCTCTCAAGCGAGCACACACATCCTATTTCAAAAAACTAAAAGCAAAAAAGTAAATATTCAACTGATAATTCTGTTTACCTTAACATTTCAAAGAACTCTAGAAATATAATTTTAATTGTCTACATTTTCTTTTAAAAACCTAAGTAGTAGGACAGTATTTTTAAATTTCTGTAGTAAGCAGAGGTACTCAGAATCATTTTAATGATCAAATCTACACAAATAATATCTATTTAATACCTACTGCATTATCATAATGTTTAGCATCATTAATTAGGCTTTAAGTTTCCTCCATCACTCTCACAAAGTAAGAATCATAGGATAAAGAATAATCACTAAAGGATTTACTGGGTAGTATCGATTAGAAGGGTATACAATTTTACTTATTTAAGGATGACATAGAATATTGTGCAGATATTAGCTTTACGCTGTCCCTAGCCTTCAATTAGAAAAAAAAAAAAAGCTTTTAAGTAATATTTGGTGACAGGAAACATTCTGCTGTAAAGGGGACTTCAAAAGGTTTGTGGAAAATTGTAATTAAAGTATAAGTTTATTTTGCTGCAAGAAGACATTGTGAAATCCATACTTTTTCATAATACGTATTTTTTTCCTTAAGTTTTTAAAGACCTCACCTTCCTAAGACTTTTCTACATTACTGTCCTCAAACACATTCCAGCAAAATCCCTCATGCATAAAAGAACAGAAACAACAAAGAATAGGTAAAAATAAAATGTTACCATTAAATAAGTTCACTAAAACTGACTAGAAGATATAAACTTATAAATAATTGTTTTCCTTAGGAAATTCTTCATAAATTTATTTAGAGTTCTATAAATTAGCCTGCCTCCCTGCTATCATAAGTGATTTTTCACAAATTTCATTAATGGTTATTATATAAGTATATTTGTTAACATACATAATGGTTATATATTATTAAGGTTATACAGGTGAGAATCCCTAATCTAAAAGCTAAAATCCAAAGTGTTCCAAAATCCAAAACTTCTTGAGCATTGACACGATACCATAAGTGGAAAATTACACATCTGACCTCATGTGATAGGTTGCAATCAAAATGCTGCAGTAAAAACATCGTATAAAATTATCTTCAGGATAAAGTATAAATGAAACACATGCATTTCATGTTCCAAGATATCTAATCACGTATATACAAACAGTCCGAAATCCCCTCTCTGTCTCTCTCAAGCGAGCACACACATCCTATTTCAAAAAACTAAAAGCAAAAAAGTAAATATTCAACTGATAATTCTGTTTACCTTAACATTTCAAAGAACTCTAGAAATATAATTTTAATTGTCTACATTTTCTTTTAAAAACCTAAGTAGTAGGACAGTATTTTTAAATTTCTGTAGTAAGCAGAGGTACTCAGAATCATTTTAATGATCAAATCTACACAAATAATATCTATTTAATACCTACTGCATTATCATAATGTTTAGCATCATTAATTAGGCTTTAAGTTTCCTCCATCACTCTCACAAAGTAAGAATCATAGGATAAAGAATAATCACTAAAGGATTTACTGGGTAGTATCGATTAGAAGGGTATACAATTTTACTTATTTAAGGATGACATAGAATATTGTGCAGATATTAGCTTTACGCTGTCCCTAGCCTTCAATTAGAAAAAAAAAAAAAGCTTTTAAGTAATATTTGGTGACAGGAAACATTCTGCTGTAAAGGGGACTTCAAAAGGTTTGTGGAAAATTGTAATTAAAGTATAAGTTTATTTTGCTGCAAGAAGACATTGTGAAATCCATACTTTTTCATAATACGTATTTTTTTCCTTAAGTTTTTAAAGACCTCACCTTCCTAAGACTTTTCTACATTACTGTCCTCAAACACATTCCAGCAAAATCCCTCATGCATAAAAGAACAGAAACAACAAAGAATAGGTAAAAATAAAATGTTACCATTAAATAAGTTCACTAAAACTGACTAGAAGATATAAACTTATAAATAATTGTTTTCCTTAGGAAATTCTTCATAAATTTATTTAGAGTTCTATAAATTAGCCTGCCTCCCTGCTATCATAAGTGATTTTTCACAAATTTCATTAATGGTTATTATATAAGTATATTTGTTAACATACATAATGGTTATATATTATTAAGGTTATACAGGTGAGAATCCCTAATCTAAAAGCTAAAATCCAAAGTGTTCCAAAATCCAAAACTTCTTGAGCATTGACACGATACCATAAGTGGAAAATTACACATCTGACCTCATGTGATAGGTTGCAATCAAAATGCTGCAGTAAAAACATCGTATAAAATTATCTTCAGGATAAAGTATAAATGAAACACATGCATTTCATGTTCCAAGATATCTAATCACGTATATACAAACAGTCCGAAATCTGAAAAAGTCGGAAACTTGAAATATGTCTAGACTAAGGGATTTCAGACAAGAAACATGATCCTGTACTATAAATTCTCAAGTTCCTATTTTATTCTAAAGCTATACAAAATGCCTTTTAAAAATAATAAAAACAGTACCAAAACATACTATAAAAATATTATAAAAGTTATAATTAGTACCAACTTCAATTTCAGACTCAAAAAACTTGATATAAATAGATCCTACACATAATCAGGTAAGATAATGCTCAGTGGTACAATGAGTATAGCAATCTGGTTTTTACTGATTTTTGTTTCTAATCCCTGAATTACTTGTTACTGAGGAAAATAAACTTATGGTAAATATTTAATACTGCTAAGTTTAGCAGCATAAACTAAGCCACACAGTAATTCTGAGGAAAGAGGGGCATCATATGGAAAAATTTAGTGTTTTATGTGAGATACTGGTGAGATTTTTCAATCTTTAAAGAATGACCAGAATTTAGTTAGCAGTGAAATGCACTCTAGGAAAATCACTGCCAAAAAGAGGGGGAAAGAAAAAAAGGTAGAAAAGGCCAAAGGACAATAAACAGAAAAGTACTCCCTAGGGTAAAAAGACTAGAGCAAAAGTAAAAGAAACAGAAATAATGGAGGTATCATTGACCTGTGAATTAAACAAAGGAATGTCATTGAAAAATACAAAGTCTACATAAAGAATTCACATTAAAATAAGTCTGAGAACAGGATGGTAGTAGCGGAAAGTAGAGGAGGGGAATTCTTGAATGCCAGTGAAGATACTGCATCCAGAGGCCAGGGAACTGAAGTAGTAGAGAAAGAGAAGTGAACTACAAACATAGGCAAATGACTGCAAGACTCTTAGATCATGCAGCTTAGAAAACAGTAGTGTCACTTCCAGAGCTCGGGGTGAGGAGGAGACATTAATTTATGTGGGAAATACTACATTCACTTTAGGCATATTATGCCTGAAATACTGCTAAGAAGCCCTGTAAGAAAGTCTGATAGACAGAATGAGATTTAGATTCAAATACATAGAACTGTCAAAGTTTAATACAATAAATAAGGAAAATAATATACTGAAGAACAGTGAAGATAGCAGGTTAGCCGTCTCTCTTGATGCTATCTACCTATGAAGTCAATTTCTTTTGTAATTTTCAGAATGGAAAGAACCATGGACTAGAACTAGGAGACCCAGATAGTTCTGCCTTAGTAACTCACACTGTACAGACCAAAACATAAAACTGTTTGAGCACTAGCTCCCTTTAAGGGGTATATATAGAAGTGAGAAAGATTAACCTAATTCTAATATCCTGTGAGTTCACATACTTCGAATAAGACTAAAGATCAGACTACTTGCTCATACCTAACCAGAAAAAAATAACATATCCATACAGAATTATAAGACAGATCTATAAATGGTTTTGAAAGTAGTCTTTAGCCTCTTATTTTTAAAAAAGAAATGACTAAACGTATTAGAAGGTTACATCAATCAATAGCTGTTAGTAATAAATAAAACATTTATAATCATCCTTTCCAGTTTACAAAATATTCTCAAATAATTGATTTTACTTAAACCTCACAAAACCCAAAGAGCAAGACAAATATTACCATCACCATTTTACTGATGAATAAAAAGATTTTCAGAAAGGTTAACAGCACTGCCCAACATCATGCAGTTAGTAAGTGAAGAGCCCAGGGCTCTAACTCAGGTAAAATTCCTAATTCATGGCCCTTTCTTTAGGCTGCCAGAATTGTCAAATTAAAATAAACAATATCGCCAAAAGAAGTAAACAGAAAAAAAAAAAAAATGGAGCACATGAAAATATAGAAGCAAGTATTAAAATGCTGATGCAAAGAAGTAAAAAAGATAGGCAAATATTTCTCTTTTTCAGCAAATGGAAAGCAAACAGGTAGGAACAGGAGAAAGGGATACTATTAAGAAGCAAGAGATTGGAACTATGAAAAAAATTAAAAATTAAGATGCCACCTGAAAACATTTATGAAGCCAAGACAAACACATCATGCTATTCTTCTTACCTTTTCAGTTGCTGAAACAGATGGCTTTGATACAAAACCCAACCTGTCCTTCACAGATAACTTAGTTACATTCTAAAAAAATTAAAATGGACATATTCAGTGTTTCCCAAAACATACATAAGTCTGTTGGGATTCTGAACATTTTGATTCTATTAATATATACTGAGTCTATAAGTATACTGAACCCAATCACAAAAACCTGTGCTTTTTTTAAAGAGAGAAAAGACAGAAAATGAGTACAGAAAATAATAAACAGTATGTAAAATTATGCAGTCATAAAAAATTGTGATGTATGACATAAAAGGTCTAAGTCAGGTGGCTGCAAAGTCCCTTTCACTGATACAGAATTATAAATTTTCCAGAAGCCTCTGTTAATAACCAAAAAAGTCTAAACATTTTAAATACCAGGTTTCAGTAATTAAAATATATGCCTGTTTCTAAAATGCAAAAACAAGTGCCTTTCTTTCCTAAACTATGTTTTGTATTCAAATACACAATATTTGGTGATGATTTAGAATACTAGGATTGGTAATTTTTTAAAATAAATAATTTACCAATTTATGTTCTGTAAGTTCTTACATAATATGAATCTTATTCTTCAGGAATTTTCTAGGAAGACTATTTTAATAAAGTGGCATCATTAATTAGCTAAGTAGGATACTACATTCTAACTATTTTACACAGCAAACGCTGAAACATCTGGATACAAAGGAAAGCTACGTTTCAGAGACTACAAGTGCAGAAACAAGAAACTGCCACTCAAGTGTAGAAGAACGTGGGAAGGAAATGACACATGTAGAAGAGAACCTGGAGTCAGAAATAAATGATTCAAAGTTCTGAGAGAGCTGCCTAAGTACTGTACATAGTATACTATCAAGTGTATTTAATCTGATGGCTTAAACCTATCTTCCAAAAACTTTTAGTTCAATCTACTGCACAATTATCTCTAGAACAGAATTCTAAGTACATAAAAAGATGATGAAAAAAATGATTTAGTTTAATGAACATCAGGTAGTTTTGCTCAAATAGATCTCCTCCACAAAGTGAAAGAGAAATCTTTATTAGTAAATATTAACAGGAGAGAAATTAAGATTCAAATACTATAGAAAAAGTAGAGATGGAAAATTTATGGTAGTGGTTAAAAAAAGAAACTTAAACGTAGGGTTCAGATATGTAAAGACTTAACATATTTCTGTGCAAAATTTATAAAATTGACTCAAATCACCAAGGGAAACTAATTTACTGAGAACCTATTTCATCACCGGCACAAGGTAAGAGACTTCTCATTTACCTGAGGAAGATCTGAACTAGCACTCTGCGCTTCTGCAGGTTCAACAGTATTTGAAGGTACTGGACCCAAACGTTCTTTGACTGACTGCTTCACAACAGGTAAAATCGGCTGCTGCACTAAAGGCTGCATTACCTCAGAACGAGAGAAAAAATTTTAAACAAGCCGATTAGTTCAGGAGCATAGAGAATAACCTTTGCTATTATTCTGTTACTAAACTGCCCATGCAGAGGAAGTTTTAAAACACCAACTTAGAATCAAACCTAACCACCTTGCAATTTCTTTCACGCATGTATATAGATCTTTGCTAGGCATAAAGTAACTTATTTATGAAGTAAAAATTAAAAAATCAAATCCCCCCTCACTATCTCTAAATAAAACTGTTGATATACATCTACAAGCAATACTGACTTCTCTCCTATCTGCCAGGGGCTGTTCTTTATGCTTTGCACAGATCATCTTATAAATCTCTAAATTAAGGATTAACTTCACAATCACAATTAAAGTTCAGATAAGAAAAGTTACATAACTTCCTCAAGTCTATAAAAGTTAACAGTATACACAACAAAACCAGCATCTGAACTCAAGTCTACAGATTTCAATGCCTCTGCTCTTAAAATATTATGTAAAAAACATTCTAACTAAAACATTTAAGTTCACACAAATTTCCCTCTTACCTTTGGAGAAACAGTTTGTAACTGTTGGGTGCTTCCTTCTCTGTGCCAATAAACCTTAATAAAGCGATTATTTAACACTGCTTCTGTACTTGATATTGCTTTCTTTGCTTCTTCATATGTTGCAAATTGAATAAGGGCACCTTCAGGATCACCATTATAGGCAACCTAAAATTCAAAATATTAAGAACATTTAAGTGCCAAACATTTAATTGTTCCTTTATACTGTAAAATTCCTCAACAAGTGAAATACTGGTCCTTCCAAGTAAGAGTCCACTTGTTATACTTCTTCTATTTATTAATAATTACCAGAATCCATTACACTCCATAAGAAATAATACCCAAAGACTGTTCTTAATAAAAAATGAACCTCCTCCTCAAGAATGCCAGTTGCACAAAGGTTATGTAGAGGCATTTAAAATAATTGTCTTGGGAACCAGCAGATGGTGTTAATGGTTGAGTTGCCGGGCTCCAACAGAGTCAACTGTGCTTCAAATCCAGGACTCAGTTGCTTGAAACTGACATCGGATGCATATGTGCCACAAAATCCCAAAGGGAGATTGGAGAAGAAGGGATTGAGGCATGGCCATCCCCCTCGTGGGGGATGATTTCTCGCTTTTTGTCTCTCCAGTGAACATATGCGCCCTACAGCAAAAATCTCTCTAAAATACAAAATAAGTAAAATGTCTGTCTTTTTACTCTCAGTTTTAATGCTGACTCAAAGAAATAGCCTTTATATATTAATGAGTGACACGGTCAAGATTGATGCAGCCTGGAGAAGGCAGTAAGCTACTTTGGAAAAGATGATCTCTAAGATATCCAAAATTTATAATTATTGTATTTCCAAGAACCCAAAAAGAATAAAGGAAATAAAGAGAGCTATGTAACAACAGCAATAATCTAATTTGACACATGAGGAAACTACAATTCAACAATATGATTCTATAGACCTGTACAATTAATACGTAATTAATCTTAAGACTTTTCAAATCAAATATCCTATTATTTTGGTAATAGCTATGTTTTCAAAAGTGTGGTATATAAAGCAATGGCAGTGTTCAGCAATACAGAACAGAGATTAAGAGTGTAGTTCAGGGACCAGCAGGTGGCGTGGTGGTTAGGGCACTGGACACTCCCACATGGTTGACTAAGGTTCAAATACCAGACCTGATGGCTTGCTTTCTCACTTTCCCTCTCTCTCTCTGTGTATCTCTCTCTGGTCAAATTAAAATAAATGAATGAATAAATAAAATTAAATAATTTTTTTTTTTTTAAAAAAAAGAGTGTAGTTCAAATCAAATGGCTTATTTCAAATCTTGGCTGCTGTTATCCTCACAAGAGCATAAGCAAGTTATTTAACCTTTCTGTGCCTTGGTTTCTTTTCTCTAAATGGGAATGGTAACAGTACCTATTCCACAATGTTAAAGAACAAAAATAATAATTCATGTAGAACAAAGGGTATATACTTATTCAATAAATATTAGTCATGCTTAAAAAGATAATTTTAGGAAGGATTTAATAACTTTCTATTTGGAGGAATTTAATAAACATCTAATTCAGGGCTGACAGGTGGCATGGTAGATAGAGGTGCTGGATTCCATGGCTGACCACAGGTCGAGTCCTGGACCTGGTAGCTTGCTTTCCCTTTCTGTTTCTGTCTGGTCAAATTTTAAAATAATAACAACAGAGATCAGCAGTTAGGGTAATGGCTATGTCGCTGGACTCCCATGAAGCCGACCACGGTTCAAGTCCCAGACCTGGTAGCTTAAACTCATGCCAGGTGCATGTGCGTGCGTGCCCAAGATCCGGAGATGAGAATGGAGGAGAAGGGATTGCGGCGTGGCCATCCCCCCTGAGGGGGTGATTTATAGCTTTCTATCTCTCTGTCTATGTCTTTCTGGTGAGCGCACACATGCTATAGCAAAAACCTCTCCCCCCAAAAATATAAATAAAATATTAATAACAAATACAATTAAATAAATAAATCTTTTAAAAAATCGATTTCATCAATACATTTAATTAAGATGAGGGTAAAGGTTTTTCAACTGAGTTTTAAAAAACATGTATTTTGGGGAACCAGCAGTTAGCATAATGGCTATGTCGCTGGACTCCCACGTAGTCGACCACGGTTAGCATCCCGGACCCGGTGGCTTAAAGCTCACGCCGGGCGCGTGTGTGTGCGTGCCCAAGATCCCAGAGGAGAATGGAGGAGAAGGGATTGCGGCATGACCATCCCCTCTGGGGGGTGATTTCTAGCTTTCTGTCTCTATGTCTTTGTCTGTCTGGCGAATGCACGCG